AGGCACGTGCTGCCCAGCCAGGGCGGGATGCAGGACAAAGCTGTGAACGGCTAGTCCAAGGGGCGCAGGGAGTGGGGAGCCACCTCCTGCCGCTGCATGCATTCTGAGAGGGCATGGGAGGCATGCGCCCCTGAATCTGTGCGTGGGGCAAGGGCAGTTTGCCACTATGGGCTGGGGCTGGCTCTTCCCGCCAGGGGGCGTGGGGAGCTGGGGCTGGTGGGGGCTACAGCGAATTTTGGGGTGGCTGCAGCCACCTTCCACAGCCCCACCAGCAGCATCACGCCCACCCCAAACACAGCGCCAGCCCAACCCCCCTACCAGGAAGAGTCTGGAGCAGCCCTGGACCCAGCCTGCGGCAGCAGCCCATCCTCACCCCATGAGCAGATCCAGGAGCACATGCCCCTCATGCCCTCCTGAGGCGCATGCAGCGGTAGGAGCCACCCCCCAAACAAGCCATTCGCGGCTCCATACCACGCTCTGCCCCAGCTGTGAAGTGCCTGCCCCAGCCCCAACCCCACTCCCTCCCTCACTACTGGGGCCTCAATCTGCACTCCCCCACACACCCCTTCCCCAACAACAGACTTACCAGCCAGACCTGGCTGATCTTCATGCTGCCATGCTTCACCCCTGGCTGCCTGCATGCTGCACACATGAACAGGGCATTTATCAGCCACATCAGCCAAAAAAAGCCAACTGCTGATATTGTCAATGTTTCTTATATTGGTGCACCTCTAGTCAGAGTTGAAGGTAGTTTTATGTAGAGTTTAGATTATGTTTTGTATGGGAAAGTTCAGATAGAAATGATCCTGCCTTAGGCAGGAGGTTGGACTAGATGAACTCTGGAGTTCCCTTCCAGCCCTACTTCTCTATGACTCTATGTCCCCTTTGAACAAGGGGCTCAACTGATAATGGGACAGTATGGACCACACAGCAGATATGCTGCTGGATCAACAGATTCCCAAAGATGACTCCAGGCATTAGTGTAACAGCTTGGGGTGGCTGACATGCCTAGCTCTGCTCAGCACAAAAGCTACCTGTAACAGCATACAATTACTGTAACACAAAGAATGAGTACTGTTGATGTCTTCCCCTCCACTCCAATCTAGTTTAGTGACAGAAAAACCCCAACAAGCTTAAAACAAATTAAAACAAAGAACTTAAGTTTTAATCAGATGCATCTTCTGATCTTAAATGGTCAGAAGTTATGGCCTGTGTTATGCAGGGAGTCAGAGACCAAATGTTTCTAATGGTCTGTTCTTGCCTTACAATCTTAGTCTGTAAAATGGGACAGAAGGTGGCAGGACTCCGATATGCCGAGCAAACCCATGGGGTAGAGACTAGCTGCTGTGAGAATGCACCAAATGGCCCATTGTCCCCACCGTGCATTTCTGCCATTGAGTTACCTTCTGTACGTTGATTTTCTGCCAAAGCATTGCCACCTGCAGTTTCAAAGCTGTTATGTCCCTCAGCTCCTGGAGACTGGAGTAGTAAAGAAGAGGCACTGCCAAGACACTCATGTTTCCACATCTCCGTCCTCTGAATGGAGTACAATCTGCAGAGGGGCATCCTGCACCCCCAGTGCAGCATGCTTGTAGCCTCTCCTGTGACTCTGCAGCTGTTGGGGAAGGAGGATTGGCAAAGCAGGGGGTGCACACATTAAATCTATAGATTACCTTTGTTATTCTAGAATATTATCATCAGACACAGGACAAGCCTACCCCACACAGCAATGAAAAGCACCAGGCTCACACCCTGCTTCCCCATCCACTTCTGCTGGTGCCTCTCAGTTCTGACTGACAGCTGCATGGAGATTCTAGTTCTAGACCTTTCCTGAACAGAGACTGAAGCCTACAGCAAATTGACTCCATTTGCAATGAGAGACAGATTTAAATTTCTTCTCTCCATTCAGCCAGTAAGTATCCTTATGTCACCACTTGCATGAACAAGGTGGGCCAATAAATTCCTGGTCCCCTACTGTTGCATCCTTGAAATGTCATGTTGTGGCATTTAGACTAAGTCACAAGCACCAGATTAAGCAAAAATGAGACAATCTGCTCAAGAGTCTGAGCACTGTGAGAAACACTGGACTTACCCCTTCGCAACTGCTGCAACTTGTTCAGACACTGGGATACTGTGGTTTGCAGACCTTCCAAAGTTAGAAGACATTCATACTCACTCTGCCATGTTGTATGGCCTGGAAAAGAAATGGAAAAGGAAAGTCAATGGGCCTGGAGGCACCATGCAACAAGGAACCATTGTGATTTAATACTTCTCTTCCCCATAGGCGGTGGAAGGTGGGGCTAACAGGGCTCAGCCTCCCCCCCCACACACACACACACACGGGGCAGCAATAGGGCTGTGAGGCTGCCTGGCTGCGGGCTTCTGGTAGCTGCAGCAAGAGTGGGGAGGGCCATGCACACAGCAGTGAAGAAGGGAGTGGAGATGGGGCTGGGGCAGGTGCTGCACAGCTGGGGTTGGGCACAGGACTGAGCTGCGAGCGGCTTATCCAGGGGGTGTAGCTCCTGCTGCTACGCACACCCTGGGAGGCATGGGTGGGGGAGGGGGGCTGAATCCACGCAGGACAGGGTGGGCTGGGGCCAGGGCTGCACCAGGCTCTTTCTGGCAGGGGGGCTGGGCCAGATCCCAGCAACACTGGGAGGGGGCTACTGGGGGTGAGGGGCTGTTGCCACCCCAAAATTCATCATAGCCCTTCCAACCCCACCTCCCAGCGCTGCTGCCACCCACCCCAAGCTCAGCTTGGCCCAGCCCCCCTGCCAGGAATAGCCTGGCTGCAGCCTGCCCTTTCCCCCACAGACTTACCTGTTTGGCGGGGGCACACACACATGTTCAGCCCCCCCAAATAACTTTTTCTCCCTCTGCCTATGCTCTTCTCTCCCTAACTCACTTCATCCTGGCAGATGGAATTTACATACCCTTATTTGGGAAAATCTGATATCAATCTCCAGCCCCTCCAGCCCTGTAAATTCCTTTAGTCCAGGACCGGAAAGTATCAAAAAAGAAGCAAGACATACAGAAAGGTGGGGAAGTAATTTTTCTGTTATAAGCATACTTCTTACCTGTGTTTTCAGCTTTGAAATGGTGACTCAGAAGGGTGTAGGCATCATGTAGGGCATTTACTTCCTCTTCTATCTCTGCAGGACTTATGGTTGGAGTAGATGGACAAAACTTACATCAGCTAAGAAAAGCTTCCTTTAGACCAGAGTGCCAGTGCCCCCAAATCCTACCTCTGTAACCATCCTCACACCCTGGGCCTGGGTTGCTTGGGACTTCAAAGCAAATTTAGAGTGCAAGTAGAGACGACAGTGAAAGACAAATCGGGAGTAGCATGTCTATGCCTATTACCTTTAACAGGAGGTTCCACTTGTCTAGATTAAAACATCAAACTTTACATGAGTATTGAAGATCCGCAGGAGGAAGGAACCATTTCCAGGTGCTCTGGATTGGATCCTTTCCACTGCAGTCACAGCTCCAAGTAGGAAGGGGTGCTTCTCAGACAGTTTAAAGAAGATGCCCATTGAGCTGTTTCACATGCTCAAATCCCAATGCCTAAAGGGGCAGGTGAGCCAAGAAAGGATACAGTTGTCTGTATTCTCTCTACAAAATGGTTCCTTGTGGCAGCTGCAGTTGCACTCGTTTGACAGAGACAACATGTCTCCCACAGCCTCAAAATTGAAGAGAAGAGAAGAAACTAAATTACATCAACACTGGGCAGACTGTAAACAACATAATATACCTCAGAGCACCTGTATGATTTCTATCAGTTTCTCTTCTGATTAAGAATTATCAAGCTGCCAAAATATTCCTTTAACTCAATGTATTATGATAGGTCAGTAAGTCTAGTAAGAGGCACTACAGCCCTGCCTTTCTTCTAGGCTACGCTTGGGAGCACAGGGACATTAGAGTCAGGAAGTTTATAATGCAGAGGCGGACAATTATTCTGGGTGGAGGCCACTTAACGAGTTTTGATGGGCTGTCCAGGGCTGGAAGGTTAGCCCCACCCCTTGACAGGTGCCCCACCCCCTGGTCACATCTTGGGACTGGAAGTCCCACCCCCTAACCTTTGCCACCAGAAGTCCCTCCCCTTGCCACCAGAAGTGCTCCTTTTGGGAAGAAGTTTTGCCATCTTGGACCCAGAAAAAAAAAGGTCATATACTAAAAAAAATCAAACATTGACAATAACGTATTTTAATTTTATTTAAAAAAATATTTTTGTTCTTTATTTGTGTGTATTTGTGTGGTGTATATAGAGGTGATAGCATAACAACTCAAAATGAGGTCTTATTCTTGTATATTGCAGAGGGCATGGAGGGGTGGGGGGTATGGGGTTTGTGGAAGATGGGTAGGTGTGGATGTGGATTGTGGGGGGTGCGTGGATGTAGGTGGGTGGGTACGGGGTTTGTAGGGGAGGTGTGGGTGGATATGGGGTTTCTGGGAGGCTGTGGGTGTGGATGTGTATGCAGGGTGTGGAGGTATGTGTGGATGTGGGTGGGTGGGTATATGTGTCGGTGGGCATGGGGTTTCTGGGGAGCTGTGTGCAGTGGAAGGTGTGGTTGTGCAGTTTGTAGGGGAGGGATTGCAAGTATGGTGGGATGTGCATGGGAACCCCTCTGCCTGTATGCACCCCGAGCTGGTCAGCACCCACCCCTACCCCTCCACAGCTTGGAGTTTGTGTGCCCTGCAGCACCTCCCTCCTACCACCAGCAGCATGCAGTCCCTGCCTCAACCCCACTCCAGACTCACCCCCACCAGACTGGATCAGCAGGAACCCGGACACAGCCCCAACCTGGCCCACCCCACACCTGCTCTGCACCACCCGGGCACGCAGTGGGGCTGGGGTGGATCTGCAGCTAGACTGCGTTTCTAGGCAGTCCAGGTGGCAGTGGCTCCTTTCAACTGCTGCCGCCACTGGCCCCAACCCCTCAGTACTGGTGGGGACCCATGCTGCACAGCCCTGACCCCACACTTGCTCCGGACTTGCCCATCCAGGCTCAGTAGCAGCAGCACAGGACAGAAGTTGATGCTCAGCGTGGGGTGGGGCAGCCCCTCCCTCTTGCCACCACTGGGCTGTTCCTGCTGCAACCACCAGGAGCCTGTGCCATGCTGAGCTGCTCTGCACTGCTACCGCTGCCCTCCCAGGCAGCCTGGAGGTGGCAGTGATGATGGCGTAGATGCAGAGCAGTCCAGTGCGCAATGGGCTCTGGGCAGATGCAGCAAGAACAGCTTGGCAGTGGCGACGGGGAGGGGCCGCTTTTCCCCCCCACACTGAGCAACAACTTGTCCTATATCACCACTGCTGAGCCTGGATGCGTGAGTCTGAAGCAGGCGCAGGGCAAGTGGGGTTGGGGTTGTGCACCGCAGGTCTCTGCCAGTACTGCAGGGGTAGGGCCAGCAGTGGTGGCAGCTGGGAACCACCACCATCTGGGCTGCCTAGAAAGACAGTCCAGCTGCAGAGCCACCCAAGCCCCACTGCATGCCCAAGGGGCAGCAGGACATGCCACAGCTGGACTGTGCCTGTGCCAGGCAGGACTGAGGGACCAGCCACAGGCAAGACAAAAACCTGCCACGGGCTGCATCCAGCCCCCAGGCCACATTTTGCCCACTCCTGTTATAATGTGTATGAGTAAGGTAGGCAGCCAAACCTCAAGGATACTGTGTTAGAAACCAGTCTTAGAAGTATAGAACATTATAGAAATACTAGGGGAATAGACCTGGCAGCAGGACACACTCTACTTTGGCCAGCCCATCATCACTGCTAACACAGTCCCCACATTATCGTGTACTAGCCCGATCGCTTTATGAGGCTTATAGCACAGCATGCCATTGTAACTGGTGAAGAACTGGTCTATGCTGATGAGCAGCGATCCGGGTTTTCCTTTTCCCATGGAAAAACAGAGAAAACCATGGATTCCCTGTTTTTAATTGGAGAAAATGCAGATTTCTCTTTTTGGCAGAGAAATCCATGGAGTCTCTGCTTTTGCAAAGAGCTCTTGCAGGCTGGCACAGCTCCAGCCTGCAAGAGCCGACTGCAAAAAGGGCAGGAAACCCCTAGCCCTGACCGGAGGGTGGGGAGGGCAAGGCCTGAGCCTCTGAGGCAGCCAAGGCTGGGCTCAGGCTCACACTCGCCCTTCGCCCCTGGAAGTAAGTGGGGCTGTGGGGCAGGGCTGGGGAAGATGGTTGGGGGCTGAGGGGGTGGTGGGTGCTGCCAGCCCCAGGCGGCACATCACAGCTGGGAGCAGGGCCAGGGGGTGAGGGTAGGGGAGCCCCTCAGCAGGGATCTTTGCAGGCAAGTGATGTGGGGTGCAGTGTGGTGGTGCCCACCATGTGCAGGCCGCATACGTGCCACCTGTCTGCCTGCCCAGGGGAGGGGGAGGTGAAGACTGGCATACAGCCGGAGCACAGCTCTGTGACCGGCTCTGCAACTGTGGCAAGGGATGGGGGCAAGCAGGGCTGGGGCTTACATGCAGTAGCTACTGCTGCTTACTTGAAGGCCTGTGACAGTGGTGATGACTGCTGCCTACAAAACCTCTCGCTGCTGCCATGGAGCCGTGCCCAGAGCTGTGCAGCTGGCCGCCATGCAGCAGCAGCAGCATGGTGGTGGTCAGGCGGCATGCGGTCGTCCCCACCACCACCCCATGATGCACCACTGCCGCTGGTCACACAGCTCTGGGCATGGCTCCGTGGCAGCAGCAGGAGGTTTTGTACGCAGCAGTCATCACTGCTGGCACAGGCGGCCCCACAGGTAAGTGACAGTGGCCGCCCGTGACAGTGGTGATGGCCACTGCATACAAAACCTCCTTCTGCTGCTGCGGAGCCTTGCCCAGAGCTGTGTGGCTGGTAGCAGCAGTGCAGTGCAGCGAGGTGGTGGAGATGGCTGTGTGCTGCCTGGCCACTACCATGCTGCTGCTGTCGCCTGGTGGCTGGCTGCACAGCTCTGGGCATGGCTCCGTGGCGCCAGCAGGAGGTTTTGTAGGCAGTGGCCATAACGGCCCTGGGGGAGGGAGGGGGGCAGTGGCTTTAATTTTTATTACAGATTTTGGATTTTTAATTAGAGAATATGCAATTTTTAAATCAGGGAAAACCAGGATCCCTGCTGATGAATGAAAGATGGAACTCATGGCAAAACCTTACCGGGAGCACAAACATGACTCAGAGCAAGAAAGCATGGATGGCTATCTGGAAACTTACCAGTGACCCAAGAAAGGCAGAATAACATTGTACCCCTGCATATCAGGTTGCATATCAACTCCTTGGAAATAGGATACTTTGATGGTCTGCCAAGTCCCAAATTCAGCATCAAGATGAACAGAGGATTCATCATTTTGGGCTTCAGCGCACAATGGCTGAACTAAATTTGGGGGAAAAAACTCCCTCAAAAATAGCAAAGTTACCAGTTTCAGTAACATCTGCACTAAACAGATAATATACTTTAAACTAACAACCAAGGCCTAGCTATTTATGTTACCTGAGACATGTTAAAGCACATACTAAGATACAGTGACAAGCACACAATTGCAGCACTCCTAAAACCAGGGAAGGATGCTTCTGAGCCAAAGAACTTCAGCCCCATTTCCGTATTATGAAGGCAGAGCAGGATGGTACCTTAGAGAATATCTATCTGGTTCAGAGTCTCTAAAGGGCTATCTTGCTGTATCTTCTGCTTAATTTCAGATTAACACAGCTAACTACCTCTCCCATATCCCTGTTATGCCACGTTTACAAATTACATGAACATCTCATCTTAAATTGCCTGTCACCATTTTTTGAACAACATCTTTCCCCAGGGCAAGCTGAATTTCATCTGAAGAAGTTACATCTTGGCCAAGTGCCACATATCAGCACACCAAAGAATTCTTTCAAAAAGGTATGGTCATAGGCATATATAGCTATATGTTCACAGACCTGTCGGCAGCATGCCAGAAGTGGAGCTTATGGTAAGGATAAGAAAATCACCTACCGCAAGGGAGACACACTTATGCCTCATGCCTCTTCAGCATCTACACAAATAACTGATCCATCTTGGCACAAGAAGTTTTATCAATACAGATGATCATATATCAACTACCAAAGCCAGTAACTTCACCCAAGCTGATGTTACATTAACATCAGTATTCTGAACTCTCAGGTTATTACACCAATTACACATCAACTTGTCTAAAATGCCAGCAAGTGTCTTTCATTTCAGGAATTTCTAGGCAAAAAAAAAAAATCAACCTAACCCCCAGAATGAGATACACCTCACCCATTCTGTGCATCTAGGAGTAATACAGGACTGCGTACTTTCTGTGAGGATGCATGTGGAAAAAATAAGCGTAAAAATCAGTGCCTGGAACAGCATAATGAAGAAGCTCAAACCAACAACACTATGAGAACACTGTATTTGGTTGCTAAGTAGCAGAACACAAGTGTGTGTTTCCTGGCATGGGAAATATCAATGCATGCAAAGATACTGAATGCTGTACTGAATGAAGATTGCCAATGCATTATGAGATGCCTTGGGCCAAGGGTATCAAACCCACCTTGTGCCCTGAGCCGGATCCAGATTGCAGGACTTTTTGCAGACTGAATCCAGCCTGAGGCTCATAGTGGGTGGCAACTTTGGCTCTCACCTGGGGTATGCAGTGGCAGCAGTGACAGCTTTGGCTCTGGCATGGGACATGCAGCTTAGCTCTGGCTTCCACCATAAAACCCTGTATCAGGGCCATAGCTGTTGCCACTAGCACAAGTACTTTGCCACAGTGGCAGCTCTAACTCCAGCTTGGAGAAGCAGTTCCAGTGTGGAGTGGTGATGGGGCCAGCTGTCACAGAGCTGCCATGGGCAATGGGTCAAGCAGCTGGAAGGTCACTGAGGCTGTAAATCAGCTCTCACTCACCCTCATGCTGCCAATCACTATGTCCACTGGGGCTCAAGTTCCCTGAACTCTCTGGGAAGCTACTTCACCCTGATTATGGTCTCCAGCTTCCAGTGCACCCGACTGAACAGCTCTGAGGGCCAGATTCCTCTCACGGGCTATGTTTGATACTCTTGCCATAGATCAACCAATGTGAACAGTCTGTAAATATCTGCTGGGATTGCACCACTGGACATCAGGTGAGTAGTTACAAGTAAGACAAAATTCAGACAACAGATTTAAAACAGGAAGCACTCACCACTTGGACACACCGCTGCCATTGGCCAACTGAAGTCATCAAAAAGCTTTCCTGCTACAACAATCTCTTAAAAACCACTTGCAGCTACACCAGTAGAAAAGTGGTGCTGCCAGCTCAATGGGCATTTTTACACATGCTCTGGGTGGAAGTGGGTGGGCACTTTAATTAGACCGGCTCCAAGAGCTGCTCTAATTAAAGCTCCCACAACATTTCCTGTATCAGCATCCCTGCATTTCAAAATAGCAATGGGGGCAATGTCCAACAAGCTTTAGTTAAAGCACCCCTGCTACCACTTTGAAGCACAGGGACGCTGATACATGAGAGACAGAAGCTGGCTGGAGCATGTTAATTAGCACACTCCAGCAGACTCAACTGATTAAGTCTGTTCCAATACACTGTAATTACAGCATGTTGGAGCACCTCCCCATATGTCTACAGGCACCCAATGTGATCAGCAAGGGATTGAAAAAGAAACACTGGAGCTGCTGAATAGCTACCTGCAGGTATGGAAATAGACTGGCCAGCTGTGGGATGTTTGAATGGTCTATACTTACAAGCTGGCAGAATCAAAGACAACGTGTGGAAGTGGGGCTACTCTAATGAAACACATACAGATGGAAACAGGGAAACACAGATCAGACAACACCTACTGGTCTGTGTGATTTTGAAAGAATCAAGTAATATTGAGGACCTAGCCTGGGCTGTAAACCGAGCCAGAGCATGCACCCAATTTTGAGGGGGGGAAAAACTAATTCTGGTGAAAGACATATGAAAAAGAAAGGTATACAGTCATGTGAGACTAAGAATTCAGCCACACTTCCAAGAACCACTGCAGAAATTGAGATGTGTCGGCAGTATATTTAAAACAGCTATCTAGTATGCGACTATCTGATCCAAGAGTTGGCATGACACTTCTAAATTGAATTTTAGCTCTGTCTAGATGAATCATTTTAATTCTGATGGAAACTGCCCTTTTCAGAACAACGTTATAATGAGAAGTAGTAAAGTTAATGGAATGTGAAAGAATAGAAATTACCTCACAAGATGCATTTCCTCTGTAAGGGAAAGTGGCTATTTCAGAGCTAAGTTGTTAGACCATTTTCAGTTTGTCATGTTAGTCCAAAGCAACAGCAAAAAGAGTAGAAATTGTTAGACTGCTGGAGGGATTGATTTATAAGGAATAATTAGAGAATTAAACCTATAGAACTGGTTCAGAGATGAATAACTGGCAACAAAATAATAACCTACAAGTACTGGGCAGAGTACTGCTCCCAAGAGGCACAGAAATCAATTAGCTTGCTACCCAGAGCTAGAGCAAGGTACAAGATCAAGGCAAACCTCACCACAGAGGGTCTGACCAGGCTGTGGCACTGTCTCCCAAAGTGGTGGGAATCTCTCTTGCTTGGCACAAAGTCAGACCAGCCAAAGCATAGGGACAGTTCCCGTTCTAGAGGGCCTAATATATCTCCAATGTCTATGATACAACATCAGCAAGTATACTTGCAAAACTGCCAACATACAAAGAGGCATAAGATCATGATCGTTACTTTAATCTTGGGGTATATTTAGTCCATTTTGGCGCTCAAGAGAATGATGTTCTAGCCAATGTTCTAGCAAGCTCCTCCACCCAGCTCTGCTAAGGTACTTCAAATCCATCCTGCCACAGCCCTTGATATTCCAATCTCAGTCACTCTGCACATCTCTGCCAATGCCTCTCAGTTCCACAATGCAGCACCCTAAAGGCCTCAATCTAATGAGCATGTGAAAACCCAGCCCTTCCCCTCACACCACACACTCATGCCACCTCCATAGGGGAATTCCCACCAGGACTGAAGGTAGGCTTACCTGGAATTCCTGGAATAGGTTTTCCTATACAGAGGAGGCAGCTTCAGCAAGGACCTGAAAAGAAAAGTGGCAGAGGGCAGCAGAGTGAGATAAAGACTCCTATCCTGTTCTCTGTCTCTCAGTTACTAAAATAAATATGCCTAGGGGTGCGCCGATAGAGATGTTTAGGGCTGATATCGATAGCTGATTTTTAAGGAGGCATACTGGATGATACCAATCTGATTTCCAATATAGCATGGAGAGCTGTGTGCAGCTGGTAAGTCTGTTGTGGTAGAAGGGGAAGGAGGAGGGAAAGAGCTGGGGGTGGGGGAAGAGAGGCAGATCAAGGCCTCCACAGTAAGGGAGGGAGTGGGGCTGGGGCAAGCACTGCTCTGCCAGGGCGGGGTGTGGCAGGAACTGAACAGAGCTGCGGCTAGCCCCGGGACATGTGGGGAGGGCGAGGTGGCTCCCGCTGTTGCACACACCACAAGAGGGCATGGAGGGGGCATGTGTTCTTTGGACCTGCAGGCAGTGGTGGTGCCAGGAAGGGGGCTACAGGGAGGGCTGCAGCCACGCCAAAATTCACTGCAGACCTCCCCAAACACCCCTTCAAGCTCCACTGCCACCCGCCCTTAGCGCAGCCCAACCCAGCCCTTGCCGGGAAGAACCTGGCACCACCCCAGCCTGCAGCTGCAGCCCATCCCCCAGATCCAGGGGGCACATGTCCCTCATGCCTTCCTGGGGTGTGTGCAGCAGCAGGAGCTGCACCCCCCATGCCATCTGGATGAGCTGTGGCTCCATCCTGTACCACGCCCCGCTCCAGCTGGGCAGCGCCAACCCCAGCCCCACTTCCTTCCTCACCACAGGGGCCTCCACTTGCCGCCCCCATGCTCCTTCTTTCTCCTTTCACTACAACAGACTTACCAGCTGCATGCAGCTCTCCATGCTGCCAGGCTGTATTCCTCACTGCCTACGTGCTGTGCTGCAGCTGCGCGCACGGGCCATTTATCAGCCATATCAGGCCAATTTCCAATACAGACAATTTTCTTTATATCAGTACCAATCTGATATTGACTGATGTATCGGTACACCTCTAATTGCACCTGAGTATGGCATTAACTTAAAGCAGGTGAAAGACTCCTTCCTGACAGATCTGGAGACAGTCTGCCAGGCACTGAACAACAGAGATGGTTGATGGAAGCTTGCCTCAGACTGTCCAAGCAATTGCCTCCAGCCTACCCTAGTGGAACTAGAATTTGACTGCTCACACAAATTCACAAGTCATATGGAAGCCTGAAGAACTAATGCTATCCATCCTCACCAGCCTTGGAGAGTGGGGAGGCTGGAGGTAATAAGCTCCAAGACCAACTACTCAGTGATCCCGTCTGACCAGCACCAGCAGGACAAAGGGTTCTTGAGCACTGCTGCCTTCCCATCAGCCTAAAGGGAAGGATTACCCAGTCAAACCTCTCTCACTAATGGGTAATGCCCTTCCCATGTTTGGCACGGACTGTCACTCCAGTGACTGCTGGTTTATATCTAACTGACCACATGCATGCATGCATGCACACATAGATGCAAAGGGTAATACAGCATCACAGTTCAGATTCTGAACAAATACATTGGCAAATTCAAACTGCATTTTCCTCAGCAACAATAACTATGCTTTCATGTATCCACTGCATTACTAGGTGAATGGCATAAACTTCTGCTTCATTCGGATACATGTTTTCTGCAGCTCCCACATCTTTTGTAACTCAGCATTTCCTGACTTGACTGGAATTTAGTTCAAAACTGCATTGTTTTAGTAACGGTTTTTGCATTTCCATTCTCACCCCCTTCTTTTTATGCATATATCAAAACATGGTACTATTCTATTTGAATCTGAAACCACCACCTAACTATTTGATTGGTATGTGACTATCCCCTTCGTGAGCAAAATTTTCCAAAGCATGCAAGTCAGTGGTGCTCAGCCTATGGCCCACCAGCTGGATCTAGGCCACAAAGCTTGTTTGACTAGACCATCACTGGCATGAACTCACCAGCAGATCAGTGCAGGCTCTGGCTGGGCTTCCCAAGTCTCACTACTGTCCCTGCAGAAGTGCCTTGCTGGGGCTGCACTGCTCAGTGACCAGAGAAGCCAGGGTGCCAGTGGATAATAGATATGCAAATATGACTCCCAGCCAGTCCCCTCAGGTTCTCTGGGGCTGGGTGGGGTCACAGCATGGAAGCTAGTGATAACAGCCCTACTGCACCACACATGGCTGCTTCCTCTGCTCCATCACCACCTCCTCCCTTTCCCAGGGGCTGGAGTTGCAGTATAGAGCTAGTGACAATAGCCCCACTGCTTCATGCCTTGAACCTCCCTCCTCCCCCTGCCAACCAGTAAATGCTGCTCTTGGCCACCATCTCCCCATACACCCAGGAAGAGGTGTGGGGGGAATTCTCTAAGCATGGAGGGAAAAATGCCACTGTCATCACCAGCAACATGTCTGCCAGGGCTGTCACCAACAAGGAGCTATCAGGCATGGGGCATCCATACTCCCCAAGCCGGTACCTCCTGCTAGGCTGGCTGCTACCATCACCACAACAGAGTGCCAAACCTGGGAGTACACAGTGGGGGGTGGAGGCTGCTCCCACATGACAATGGGTACAGGCAGAAAAGCACTTTGCAGGAAGCATTCCGAGTTACAAGGAACCTCCGAAACAAACAGAAGTTCACTTCTGGTTCCAGGGGGAAGGGGAATCCAGCTGCTGGCTGCCAGCCTGCAGATGGTTTCCTCTAGCAATAGCTCCTGCTCCCTCCCAGCCAGTGCTGTTTTCAGAATGGGAGTGGGGAAAGGGAACACAGGGAGCTTGTTCTAGGGCAGTGCTTCCCAAACGTTTCCTCAGCACGATCCCATTTCCTCAGTATGGCCCCTCCCAACATACAGCCTCCCCATCCCTCCCCCGGTGCCCCTCACTCCCCACCCACAGCCCCCTGGCCTTATCAGTGCTCCTCACTCCCCACCTACAACTCTTCACCCCTGCTGGTGCCCTCATTCACAACCCACAGCTCCCTGCCCCCACCAGCCCTGCCAGCGGGAGCCCCCAGGTGCCAGGGATACGGGACCAGGGGCCACAGCCTCCTACCCTCCAAGCAGCATCCAAGCCCTGGCTGCCACCCATGGCCAGATTGGAGCATGGACCCCAGTTCCCTCCCCTTCCCCACATGGGCAGCACAGCTGGAGCACTGCCCATGGGGAGGGGAGGAGGGAGGATGTAGGCTGCCCACTGTGGGCTCAGGGCTCCTCACCCTGCTACCCTCCCCCTGGGGCCTCTGCAGCAGAGCAGGGCAAGGAAGCTCAGTGCCACTACCTGGAGCTCCACTACCGCCATGGCGAGGTGCCCTCTTTCCACCCAGCAGCAGTGGCAGCAGCATGGACTTGTGCCCTCATTAAGTTTGCTGAAGTTGTAGCTATTTAACTGACTAAAAGAAAAAAGAGGATCTAGAACAAAAGAAAGGTCTGACTTAGTTTTCCAAAAGAGTCATTGCTAGACTGAGAGACCAGCCCAAGCAGCCATTTTGGTTAAGACATCATTACAGTTCTAGACATCCAAAGATTGGATTGTACCAGAAAAATACTTTCTTAATAGTTATTAAAACAATGGCAAGGGGAGCAGGGCAGGAATAGTACAGAATTGGGACTTGCAGAATGGTGGGAAAGATCAGCTCCCATGGGGGCAAAGTGAGAACAGATGTGGAATCCAATTGCTGAACAAACTACAACAAATGGTGCTGATCATTGAGTACATACCCCTTTTCCCAGAGGGTACATGTCTGGGGCGTGGGACTCCTCTCTGGGATATCTCCTGCCATGGGATTCTGTGTCACTAGTGACTCTGCCAAGGAACCAGGACAATTCTTCTCTGGATTGACTAAATGGAAGTTGGCTGCTCCTGAATTCTCATGGCTGGTTGAGTCCCCAAAGGCAAAGCTTTGCTCTTTGCACAGGGGAGATCTGGGTGAACCACATGCCTGCTGGGATCCTGCAGCAGCATAGATCACTTTCCGACCCATGACTGGTACATTCGTCTTTGCTTGCTGGGAGGAAGTTCCTTTAGTGGAGCCCTTCACAGCTGCCCTTGGGATCCTGGAGCTCTGCTGGGCTGGTGCTTTCCTGTGGCTTCTTTTCACATCCAGGTCAGTCCGGTAGGGAGCTTTCAGCACATATGCTGATGGCTTTTTGGAAGTGACAGGCTTGCTCAAAGATGTCACTTTGATGGTCTTAGGAATGCTTTCCTTAGACACAGGTACCTGCTCTGTTATAGATGCTTTAGCAGCAGGCTTTTTATCTGAAGTCTTCTCTCCTTCTGCAGCTCCCACAGTCCGCAATGGAGTTTGCAGGACACTTTTCCGGACTCTTAAAACTTTCTCCAATGCTCTAGTGAGCAGCTCCAGTTCCTCAAGTTCCTTGGGTGAAGGCTCATTCTCTGCAAGAACAGAAGGTATGTCAAGAAGTGATACATGATGACCAAGCACCTTCCCTTCCACCCTTCCCTAGAGTGGCTCATTTCTGTATTTTTCAGAAGCACAGATAGCATACGTAGAGACTTACAAATTCATGGCAGAAATGTGGTACACAGCAGCTACTTCAATCTTTCATGTTCCCCTGAATGCCCCTCCCCCTGCCACCACCGATTGGCAGAGGGGCCCCACCACTCCCTCTTGATTGGCACAGAAGTAAAAACCAAGTTTTTAAACATGGCGTGGTTTTTGCCTCCCCACAAGTCAGCAATAAGCACTGGGGCCACTGGGGCCCCTCAGCCAATCAGTGGGGGGAGACAACCACAGTGTCATATTTAAAACCACAGTTTTTGCCTCCCCAGCAATAAGGAGCGAGCTGCAAGCCTGGTCCCTCCACCAATCAATGGGGGGGATCTGCAAGATTAAAGGAGCCACTGCACACCTCACTACTGCGGTGAATTCAGTAGGTCCCTAAGCCTATGGTAGGGAAGCCCAAAGACTTTTCATCATGCTCCTGTAGACCCTGCTTGCAGATGCAGGCAGCCTCAGCAAAATCCTGCAAGTCAGGATAGAGACCAACCACAGAAGGAGAGTCCCTGATATCTCTCTGCTATGATAAACCCTTCCACAAGGAAATGGCACTGACAGGAGTTCCAGTCACACTTGCAACTGTACTCACAAGACTCTTAGTTTGATGCAAGCAAACTCCATGAAACTCAATGGGTGAACACAACACAATCATGCTCCTTAGCAGTGAACATCTGAGGGAACACGTTAGATGTATTTTAGCTCAGCATGTATGTGCTGTTGGGATTTAGTTAGTAACAATGAGACACAGTGTTGGGAAGGAGGAAAGGCTCACCACCTTCACTCTTTGTGCTGGCCTCCAACTTTGGACTTTCAGGAGCATGAATCTTCCTAGCAAGGGAAAAACAAATACAAAACATCATGTTTTGTACTCTGATGCATGCAGCTTACTAAAGATCCCATGTACACACACCACCCCATGTCTGTCCCTCTCCCCTCCACCAGGTAACAGAACCATATTTCTTGAGACACTTTCCATTGGATGCTAGTAGAGCTAGGAGGAAGGGAGGGGTCTCAGTATAGAACTGGAGCAGTAGGAAGCACTACAGGTTAGGGCAGAGGTAGGAGAAATCTACCTAGAACTTCCCTCAAGATAGTAGTACATAGGAAGTCTCTCCCTTCTCAAGTACTAACCCGCCACCCTCTTCCCAGCCAGAAAGCTGAAAAACTCTAATATGGAGCAGTGGATTTACAGTTACTAAAGAGACCCGCAGGTTGCACAAGGCACATGGGGCTGCATCCTGTTAATGGGGGTCAGCACTCCAGCACAGATTGATAACAATCCCCACACTCTGGAAGCCCACAGGCAACAATAAATAATGCACTGCAGGCAACAACCTACCCTGCTCTCCCTGCCAATAAGAAGAAACACAGATCCGTGAAAAGCAAAATTTCTTGTGGCTGCAAGAAACATCCAGGGTCTCACAGGCAGCCAGATTTGGGACCACTATGCTAGGGGATTGTTTTTTAAATAACAGGTGAAAAGACATGCACAAGAAAGACAATTTTCAATCATGAATCTTCTTTACCCCTTGTTTTACCTGGCAAGCTAAAGAAAACCCTCAAAGAGAAGGGAGCAGGTCTGCTTCTTTTGTTTCCATATGTATGATCAGTCAAGAGACACCCAGCCCATTATTGCCTACTCCAAGATTTTTTTCCCTGCTTGTATACTTACAGTAGAAATCTGCTTCCAGGTCTGCTCTGTGTTCCTGAAAGGCACTTAGGAACAATCAACAAACTAGGGCACCAGATATTTCACACAAACGAGACATCACTTGTTACCATATGCAAAGTAAGCAGCAAAGCTCTACTCTGTTTCCTATCTTGCAACCAGCTTTCCAATCCATGAACACACCTTTCCTCCAATCCCATGACAATTCAGTTTTTTAAGAGCCTTTAGGTAAGCGACCTTAAAAGATTTTTGAAAATCCAACTATATTATATTAAATGGATCCCCATTGTACACGTTTTTGTTCACATTCTCAAAGAACT